AGAACTTGTGATTTATTTGATTGTCGCCTAGGCAATAGTTCCGAATGGTTCTGGGCTTAGCCACCCACTCCATTTGCCAAAAGCTCTGCTCCAAAATAGTTTCTAAAGTTTCAATCAATAAATATGAAGTCTAAATTGAGCTGGAAGGTTTCGCGCATATTATATTGGAAAAGTAGGCTTTAATAAATTTGGAAGGGCCAACTTCTTCCTAAAACAAGATGTGTATAACTAGTAATATCGAGTGATAAATTCATTCATTCTGCTTGCACTGCTTTTAAGCATTTATATATGTTGGCTAGTCGGTTGCAGATTTTAGCCAGCTTGGGCATCATAATGAATAATAAAACCTGCCATTGGAGCGGTCGCCAACTGCAGTCTTTACGCCTGATTCGTTACGCAACTTTGTCCAGGTAATTTATCAGGCACATAAAACCAGGTTTAGTTGCACGGTCTCCCCGAAGGAAAGTGAAGGGCACAAAAGTGGGCAACAGTCACCTTCTCCACTCCTGGCTACTGAGAAGAAGAAGTCCTGCCACTGTCTGCTCCACAAAACTTGTCACTGGCATTCCACGGCTGACAGTTGCCGTGCAGCTATGCTGCCACTGACAGTTGCATTTATTTACCTCCTTTTTGGCCAGGAGTCTGGGTCAGAGATGAACCCGGCTTTCGGCTCCGGCTGGAGCAAAATATAAGCCACGCTGGTAGCAGCGAGCCAAATGACAATGGTGATGTAAAATTGTTTAACTACACACCTTTAAGCTTTCAATCTAAACTAATACCGTTTTTGGGAAATGGCTTAAATATTTAACAACATGAACTGCCTTTCAAGTACATACCTATACAGGTCAGTGCATTTGTATCTGTTATCTTGTGGAAAAATAGTTGTAGTGCTAGTAAGCTGGAAAATTAGACCCGGAAAATACATGTTTCATAATTCTAATATTTCTACTTTGCGAATCTTCTTTCAGACAAACAAATAGCTGAAAAACGTTTGAATGATATTCAATTTTGTAATTTAACTCGCTGTGTCCAAAAACCCCTTTCCTTTATTTAACATATGCCACTCTTGGTCTGGACAACAGAAGAAAATACTACACTCCGCTTACAATACAAATTATAAATAACTATTTATCATGAGGTGCAGTGGCTGTTGCATTTGCCAATTGCCCACCTGAATGCGTTCTGAAGTGCCTCCTAATCCTGGCTGTAAGGGATTGCCTTGACCAAGGACCAAATCCCTGAACTGGACTTTTTTGACTGGTGGAAATAAATTGCCAATGGCAACGACAGTTTGATTTCAGCTTTATACGTATGCCCGTTGCTCGTAGAGTAAAAAGGTATATTGGATTTGTCGAAAAACTTCTTGCCACGCCCTCACGTTGAAACATTTTTAAAAAACAAATAATTTCATTATTAATATGCCGGACAAATGTTGCAATTTCTCGTTCGCAGAGTAACGAGTATCTGATAGTCGCGAAACTATAGCGTTTTTCGTTTTATTTTGGTCCAGACATTAGTTGATTCGGTTGTTGCACCTGTTTCTGCTTCAAATGGATGTGCTTCCCGTTTCAGTTTAGGGAAACGAAAAATAATATTAAAATTGCACTACTCGCAATAAATGGGTTTCAAAACGAACTCCAACATAAACTCGGCACATTTGCCGCTAATCGCTTCCCCACAGACGCATTAACAATTTATCTTGCCTTATTTTATGCGAAAAGTTTTCGCCAACCGAGCCAGTGTAACCGCATCCTTCACCTTCTGCCGGCGAAATCGAATCCCCGAAAAGAAAAACATTTGAATTGAAAATCGTGCTGAGCAGAGAAGGAAAATGCCAACGACATGCGCATAATTTCAGCACACACAGGCAGCAGCACTTTTCTCAAGGGAAATGCGAGTACGTGAATGCGAGAACATGGCGAAGGGATTGGTTGGGGCCCTCGGATATTGTGTCTGAGAGCCTTAGGCAGACCTTTGGGTCCTTTGATAAGAGAAATGTATATTTGGTCGCTCTAGGTGAAAAAAGTTCGGTCTGAGCCCTGTTGTGCTGGTTACAAATGGCGCAGAGACTGATGGGAAAAAGGTAAGGGGCTCAGTGTGCTATTTTTTTGAAGTGCGTTCGAATTGTCTTATACCCGTCACTGGAAAACTAAAAAGCTAATAGTCAACCAGTGCAATTTTGTGCAGCTGCCAGTTGCCATTGACCCGAGCTCAGTGCAATTCATTTCAGTTTGGACCCATCAAAGCCAATAAATTCGTAAATAAAATGTGCCAATAAATGGTTGTCTCTGCTGTTAGCAATGCAAGCAGCAAAACTGAAACTAAAGTTAAATTGAATTAAAATTCCGAGCGCTTAATGTGCCGAAAATACACAGGACACGCTCGCAAACTCACAAACATTCGCCTCGATCCGCTGGCAGTCTTCACATGTCGTAGATTTTTCAATAAACTAAACAATTTACGAAAATTGAAGTTTATCTCAATTGTGCAGCTGTTGTTGACAACGCTCCATACACTCGACGCTTTGTCGCCGAGGACTCAATTTGGCAATAAACTGGCACTCAGAGCTCTGGGCCGATTGCCACGCCCTAACTCCAAGCCCAAGCCCCAACCAAAGCCCAAACCGATACTATATAGTATAGTATATATAGTATACTCGTATATGAGGCACGATCCGGGTCCTGTGAAGTGGTGCACAAATGCGCTTAGTTGCTTTATTGGTCAAGCTGTTGTGCGTGGATAAAACCCTTTTAGTGCACAATTGCTATAAATTCGCTTGGCCCATTATATTGCTCGTTGGGTGTGGCTTTCAGGGATGGGGAGCTCGGAATTGGAAACGGGGAGACTGGGGTCTGGAAATGGCGAAATGGCGAGATGGGAACTGGGAACCCTGCCATTGTCGTGTGGGGAACGGAGCAGCAGAGTCCAAGTCGATGATTTCGATTGACGGAAGAGCTTATTTTAATCTCATTTGACAGCCACGAGCAAAGGAACCCGAATAAAGGAAACTATTCTGGAGCCAACAGCTGTTGTGGGACGGGTCATTTGATAAACGGACATTTGGCCAGAGCCAAAGGGTTAGAATGGTCTGTGGAATGGAATGGCTGCCTCTTGTAATATAATTTGCCATGATTAAGTTGGAAAATTTGCATGGACCGGCCTGACACATTTTGATGACCCAAGCATTTGGTGGCACTCGGCAGTTTAGTGTTAGTTTATTGTCCAATCGGGTTCATCCACCACTCGGTCACTCCCGCACATGTCCTGGATATACCCATAATTAAGATTAAGGTTAAGGCCTTTAATTTGGCTCTTTTGTGTCTTCGCCTAATGGCCAGTTGGGCAGCAAAATACTGTGAATGAAAGTGAATGAAAACCGAAAGTCCTTGCAAAGTTTGTAGCCCAATTTGCTGCGGCAAGAGCCATCTAATTGGATGATAACTGCAAATTGTTTAGCCATGTGGAGAATAATCATAAAATTATCATGACTTCAAAACACTTTATGAATATAAGCTTACCATAATGGTCAGCAGTAAATTTAAGTTCGTGTGCAAGCGATCGTATGCGATTAATGCATGAACAAGGTGATTAAAACTTACTGCAAACGGCTTAAACCCCTTCTGCAATGTGACAAAACAAAAAGTGCACATTCTTGGCTTACACGGAGAATGTGCACTCGGATGCGTTCTATAAGGGGACGGGAAAAGAATCGGGTTTCAGCCCGTGAATTGATGATTCAATACCGAACAGAAAAGGAATCCGGCAAACTTTCGATTTTTTCATCCAGCTGGGCAGCTTAATTGCATTCGTGGGTCGAAAGAGAGCCAGAGCCAGGAAAAATGGGAAGAATGGCAGATAAACTGAGGATGTGGAGCAGGAGGAGGAGTAGGAAAATTAATTATAGACCGGCGCCTCGACTTAGTGGTAACTGTACGTACGGCAGGCGTCTTAGCCAACTGGGCTCCAGCCAAGCCAATCCACTTCAGCACCTCGGGCTTGTGTTGCGGTTTGGCGCTTGTTAATTTTGCAGTGAAAATTGCTTTGGTATTTACAGTGCACTTGGCCAAAGGCGCATTACGCGCATCCCTCAAGGTCCTCTGGGAGTCCTGTTCGCAGGTTCTGGAGCTGCAGCTTGATTCGCAGGATGTTTGCTCTATGCCATTTCCCTAATCCCCCTTTTCCCTGCAATCGACAGCTGTTAAGCATTTTCACGTGCAGTCTGCAGCCTTGATGCTTGATTGTATTTGCCCTCTCGTCCTGGCCGACTTCCCACTGAGCCATTCAGCCATTCAGCCATTCAGTCAGTCAGTCATCTGCACGAACTAATCAAGACGGCCACTTAATGCCACAAAGTATGCTACTCGAATTTGTGTAACCCACTTATCTTTAAACTAATTTGTTTCCTAGCTCGGATTGCCTCCTGCTCTCACAGGACTTATCAACCCAGGGCTGGTGTTGGAGCTTCTTTATGGCTGGGGCATTACATTTTCAGCCACGAAGCGACCATAAAACAATGCCGCATAAAAAAGTGACCCCTACTTTTTGCCATCTCCATCGCTCTACACGCGAAAGTACTCAAAGCGAATAAAACAAAAGTAACTATAATAAATGTTTGCAAATAAATTGCGAGCTGCTAAAACGCACAGTCATCCATACAAAGGAGAACGGAATTCGTTTTTCTCCAATTTTTGTTGCCTCGACATTAAAAAGTTTAAGCGCTCTGCTTTATTCGTCTTCAGTTGAGGGACAAAATCAGTTTTATGTCGGGGAATTTCTGAAATTCTGTGACTGATGGCAGTAAGAAATGGAAATATTTTCTCCGTTTCCCCCGGGCACTTTGAACGGCCAAGTGGAAGGTGGGACAGATGTTCAAGTTATATCTAAATAGGAGTACTGTACATAGCTTAAATCAACCACAATGTGCTGCCTTAGATTTTATAGACTTTACGGAAATGAGAAGAAAAGTAAGAGTTTCAAATATTTAGTTATAAATATTTTCATATTGTTTTCTTTTGTAAGCTTGGCGTCAACTATTTTCAATACAGGCTCGCAATTTGAAGAGCCCAAAGTGTAAAAGAGATCGAATGTGAAGATAGATTTTCCCAGCACTTACTGAGACAACCTATGGGCACAAGCTATCCTCCTTTACACGGGGCTTGCAAAAACAATTGTATTCGTCGGCGGCCGAAAGAAGATCGTCGAGGTAGAATTTAGTGCTTTGGCGCTCCTGAGCGTTTCGGGCCATGTTCCTTTTAGCCATGATACGCTTCATAAAATCCTTGCAAAAACGAGTTCGCATATTCTCGCGCAGGGCATGCATGCTCATACGACGTTCTGCGGTGGAAAATTGAGGTGTTGGTATCGTAAAAAACCAAATAGGTGACAAACTTACTGGTTGAATAGTTCATGTACACCTTCTCAACATACTTATCCCTCATGGACTTGTCATACACGAGTATCGTACGCTGCAAGCGTGTTGGCATTCTCTTGGGCAAGGTGAACTCCAAGTCGGTAAGGTTTTCCTTAAAGGGTCCCGGAAAAGGCGCTTTGGAATAAGTATTTCCCTTTCGGAACTCATGTCGCCTGTCGTTCAAGAAGGATCGCTTCATGGCAATGGCCGCGCGCACACGCCCGTTATGAAAGCGGTATCCAAAGGTACAGGAAAGGTCCTCGATCTTACTTAGTAAGCTGTGAATAAAGCCCAGCATGGAGTATGGAGAGTAAAACCAGTATGCAAGACATACTCAGATTCCCTTAGTGCATAAATGCCCGGTAGCAAATGCTCCTTTCGCATTCTGTGCAGCTTTCTGTAAAGCGAACTAAGCATATCTTCCACATACTGAATTCGGAGCGACTTCATGCCCTGGAAGTCCTGGAAGTACTGGCGAGTCATCCAGCCGCGGAACAGGGCCTGGATCTTGGTGGCCATGTCGTGGTGGTACTGGATGATCCTCTGCTGCAACAGCTGCTGCATGAAGGAGAACTTTGACTTGCGCACCCAGAAACCACGCCACCACCTGCTTATGGTGGTGGCGGCATCGCACTGCCTTTTAAGATGCCTTCTGGCCAAAAATCCCCTCACATAACGCTGAACGGTCCTTGCAGCGTTGAAGTGTTTGTAGTCCAGGAGGGCCAGTTTCAGACGACTACATGGACCGTAGCAGGATTCCTGACTACTATTTGACTCCAACCACAGGTCGCTCAGATTGTCCGTGTTCTGACGGCTTCCAGAACTGAACTCGCTGGTGTCATGAGGAAGGTGTTTGGAGCCTCGGAACACCGAAGGACATTTTAGGTACATGGTCAAGCCTTGTGCGTGCTTATGTTTTTGTGTATAATTGTACTACGGTACTGTGCTCTATCTAGTTTTTTTAATTCTGAAAGGTTGTTGACATTAATTTCTAATGAGCACCTCTCCGAAAAAGAATCTTAGCCTTGTGCCATAGGATCCACCCAAAAGGCTGGGAAAATTATGGCGAATTACACTGATTCAGCAGAAATGTTGGGCTTATTTCGCTGTGTTATTGTACACAGCATGAGCACGATGATGAGCACTAAGTTCTCCCTCTGCTGCGCCACTTGGCACACATCTCTTGACTGGTTACTGGTTACTGGTTTCTGGTGGGATATAGACACCGCCCTCTGCCGGCATCACACCCAGGTCGCATTCCGCACTTCCCCGCAGAACCCACCAAATATGGGGCAGGAGCTCCACTCGGAGCCGCAGTCAACCTGTCAGTCAGCCAGGAATCCATGAATACGTGGCGGAGAGTCTCCTTTCGAACGCACTTGCAGCTTAAAGGATTTACATTGAATACTGAATGCTGATACTTCATATCAGTTTAGTTTTCCCTCGCTTTTGCCTCGAAAAAAATCGAAAAAGAATGGAGGGCGCAGAGAAAATCTTCGATTTCCATAAGTGAATTTTCCTCGACGCACACAGGCATGTCAACTAGGCAACCCGCCACCCGGGCGCCTTACACACATGTGCGCCACTGTCCCTGTTCTCGGCAGTCGAAAACGAAATGGTGTCATGTACGAAATGTGAAAATCGTGTTGTACAATTTCATGGCTTGGCTTTTGCCAATTTCCCATGTAAAGTCAGTCGGCTTTTCGTGTGGCGCCAAAGTCGAAATTCCCTCCCCCTGCCCTCTGCCCCCTGCCCCCTGCCCCCGCCAGGTCCCTTTGCGGTGGCAACTGCGCGTATTTGGTTTGCTAATGGGCAACTTTGGATTTTCAAATCAGTTGGAAAATGCACTGTGCGTGTGTATTGTTTTTCGCAAAACTCCAAAATCCATTGCAGCTTAAAGCGTCCATCAATGATTTAGAACCGTAGGATTCTCCGAGTCGAAGACGTTAAATCCTTGCCTGGGATATTGATTTTGATGATGATTGGAGTTGTCGAGATGGGAGAGTCAGTTGCACGCAAGCGGATAAGCAAGCCACAAATATGCAGGGATTAAATAAATCAATTTCAGTGCAGACGTCCGAGCGATAAAATATTAAACATAAAAAAAACTAAATTTGAAATTAAATCATTTTGCCACCCGAAAAGTTTGAAATGCGTGACTAAAAAGTTTCCCATTATTTATAGAAAATGTATTCACCTTTTTAATATAGCACCAGTCAGCTTATAAGATTTCATGATTATAACGAGGGCATGTATTGTATAGCAATTTAAGTTACAATAAATTCAAACATTTCTGAGATCACAACTGGATCTAATTCCCTCCCCCTCTCTTCCATTTTTTAGGTTAATTCGGAAGTCGAATCCAGTTCAATCACCATCCAGCAACATTGTGAAATTCCCATGCAGGAAGAGGAAAAGCTGGGAGTGAGCCGAAGTCATATAAAATACATAGCAGCAAAGTGGAAAAATTGTGGAAAGCAGGAAATGAATATGCAAAAAAGGGCGAAGGGATATGAAAAATGCAAATACCCAAATCGAGTTCAATGAGAAATGCAGCTAACCCTAAGCCGAGCGTATTTACACAATTTCACATGCAAGGCAACAGCAGTGGCATTCGTATTCAGGTAGTTCGCCGCACACAGGACCTGTTCACAGTGCGAATACAAATGCGACTCACTGTGCAGATTGCTAATTGTGGCTGACTGGTAAACCGAAGAAAGCAAGAGCGGCGAATGAAAAATGCATTAAATGCAACCACAGAATAGAGCAAAAAGTAAAACCAATCAAACGACAAAAAAAGGGAAATTGCACATACTGAGCGCGGAGCAAGACAAAAGGATGACAAAACCAGTTAGCGAATGTAAAAATTGATTTCTGCGGTCTGGATAGCGGATATTGCTCATATATGTACGTCAATCGGCTGCGAAGGACAGCGCAACATAAAAAATTAGCTGATTTATAAATAAACCATCATATTTGTGGGCAAAAGGACATAAAATGCAAAAGCCAGCGCTTAAACTGCGTAGACTCTTCATCATTACCGCTGTTTACATAGCCAGTTTGCCAGGTAAGTTTGTTAAATGCGAAAATCAAACACCGTCACGCCCTCATCACCTTTTACTATTTGACCACACAGGGCTTTAATTTAAATGTCACAGCACACGCAGTTGGCCTGAAATATTAATCGAAAATTATGGTCATGGGAAATTTCATGGCTGTTTTCAAACTGGGCAAACAATTGCCACCCACTGTTACACTGCTCTGCCCACATCATTTGCGGTTCAATTATGTTTGCGGTTACTATTTGTGAAAACGTTTCAACCCCAAACGTGAACTTCCTTAGTTTTGTTTTTGAAAACGCCACGACAAATCGAATTAGGCAGCAAAAAGTGACGAATGGTAGATACAACTTAATAAGTACTTCAATTTGATGCTACTCTTATGAAATGTGTGCACTTCCAAGTTATTCAAACTTCGTATTGCCAAAGTTCTCTGTATCCAAACGATTAGCAAATTAACCAAGCAGATGTTGGAATTTCCGCTGTTTTAAATTAATCGCTTTATTTGTATGCAGCAGTTTGAGAATATATTATCGGATTGCAATTGAAACTGCACTGAATGATATTTGTTTTATTGTCTGTTATCTAAACCTATTGTACTGTCCTTTTATACGAGGCTAATTTCCCTTGATAAATTGACGTCCGTTCCATTGTCTCGCTGTAAATGCCTGAATTTCTTTTGACTGTCAAAGTTCCCCAATATAAATCTCCCTTTTATTAATAATTTTGCTGGATTTTAATTTAATATTGGTGCCTGAATGCAGCTTACATTCAGCTGTTTGTTTGTCACTCTTGACGTTCCCCACCAAATGCAATATGATTCGGATTTCATTTCAGTCTCCCGGCCTTACTCTGGATTTTTTTCCAGTCATCTCTGTCTGACACTCCGGGCAAAATAGCTGCTGCAATGAGTTGTCGCTTTGTCTGCATTTCCGGCAGCTTTAATTTCGTTTCATATTTCTTTGGCTTGTCGACATCCACTCCTGCCCAGCCCGCCATTTATTGTGAGATTGGGGCATAATAAAGTTGTAAAAGAGGCGCTCATAAATCCCAGGGATTTTATATTAAAAACTGAAAGATTCGAGCAGCGTAGTAAGCTGAGCTTGGGCAGGAGCCGCCTTTAAAGGCACGGAAGCGGCTGCCAATGCGCAGCAATTCATCACAGCAACTTCCGGTTCCGGTCTCGGCTAGATCTACACTTCTAGCTTGCTCTTAATTCGGGCTACTCGGGCTCTCCTCCTCCAGCTCATGCTAACTGGCATTTGGCGCAGAGACGTGTGCCATCGCCCACCCGTCTGGTGCAAACCACTCGTATTCCATCGAAACAAAGAGGAAACGGCGACGGGACCTGCTAAAAACTTCCAATCACGTCTGGCGGATCCTTCACTAGGCACGCATTTCAATGGCCAACATTGAGGCGGGCTTCCAAAAAGAGAGTGTCTGGTCGTGGGGCACATTTAGAAAAATAGAAGGCCCAAAATCGTGGGCACAAGATGCGTTTGATACCCTTTTCTCAAGATACGACTTCAGAAAAAATGTATTTTCTGTTTGTAAGAAAAGAGTTTTGGGTCACAAGAAGGCGATTTATGAAACTTGCCTGTAATTATGGCACTCCCTTTTAAAAAAAGGTGTTTTTTATTACTGTTTAATGTCTTAGATGTCTTGAGATGTTTTCATGATTTTTATATACACGTGTATGTCACCAACTTTTGAACAGCATCTTGAACAGCATTGCAGCTCAAAGCGATACCCTCTGCACCAGAAATGAGTTATTATTTCTTATATTTTTGTACAGCGTTTTACTGCCGCCCACTCGGGAAAGCGGCAACGAATCGTCGGGCAATTTTCAGCGCTAAACTTTTGACACCCGCACATAACACTCACATACACACACGGCCGCCAGCCCACACACACACTTGTTGTTGTGACACGCACGCGATGCATGTGGCGTCTGCCGGAAATGCCGAGCTCAACGTCCAAGAGCAGGAACAACAAAGCCTGGAATCAACTGTTGGCATGTTGATGTTGACGCTTTGCCTCTGCCCCACACCCACACCCCACTACCGCCCACCACCCACCACCCAACACCCACTGGCAACGGCCAGCCACCGCTTCTGCCACGCTTAGCTGACATTTTTGCCAGCGTAATCACGATTAAACTGTCAACGGCATACTAATTAGATTTTTATTTTTATTGCGCCATGACAACGCCGCGTGACGTTGTCGCGTCCTTCCGCGTCCTGCGCCATCCACCCACCGCCCATCGCCTCCAAGTGGGCGGTCCTGCTTAGCTACTCTTTTTCTGCCCTTGCAGAGGGTATTGAAATGTTTTTCTGATATATATGGTTACTTAGCACCTGATTATGCATTTCTATTTTAGATGCAAGGGCGTCTTGTATTCAAAAGCAGTCCAAATATATTTATACAGAAAGATCTAATGAAAGGGAGGAGAAATAAGGATAGTTCTTAAAAACATGACTACAACAGATGGAAATTTAGTTTTATGTTTTTAAAGTACTTACAACCAATGTTGACATAAGGAGTTTTTATGTGACTAAATATGCCGACCAGCCAATCTTATTCTATTAGTACCAGGGTATATAACTTTCGGCTTTCGAAAGTATTCTTCTCCCTATTTTTTCACTCCTTTGTGGCGTTGTCGTTCTGGGAGATGAGCGTGCCTCGCATGACCAAGTGACAGTGCAGACGATGGTGGTTGGTGGGTGGAGGGTGGTGACCCCGACTGAGGTCCTCTGGGGAGGACCTAAATCCAGACCCTTGGCCAGGCACTTTGTGGCGCCTGCTACTTTGTGATTTATGTCTTATCATATTTATGAAAATTATTGTTATTGATGGCATTCAATATTAAGTGAGCGAGAAAAACAAGCCACGGCAACCAATTCACTTTGATTG